TCCCCTGACCTGTATCTTGTAGTAGTTCAGGAAGATTTTCTTTGTTACCAACGAAATCCTCCTGTCTCGTAATACTCTGCCTAGCTTTTGGAATTCGTCTTTGGCCATCCCAATACGTCTTCGGATCTCAGTGTCGCTCTTGCCGTCCTCTGTCAAAACACTACCCAGATATTTAAATTTCCGCACCTGCTTGATTTTAGTGTCCCCGACCTGTATCTCTTTGTTCTAGTAGTTCAGGACTCCTTTTTGGAATTGTCTTTGGTCATCCCAACGTCTTCGGATCTTCTCGCTCTTGTAATTCAAAATCGATCATTTTCATCCCAATACGTCTTCGGATCTCAGTGTCTTTCTTTGCAATCCTCTGTCAACACTCCCAGATATTTACTTCCCAGATATTTAAATTTCCGCCCTTCTGTGTTTTGATTTTAGTGTCCACGAGTGTCGCTCTTTATATTGTTCAGGACCTTTCTCTTGTTAGGAACGAAATCCTTCTGTCTCTAGTTCCAGATTTTACGTCGTTTTACTTTTAAAATCAGTGTCGCTCAAAAATGTCAAAGGAAATATCAACAACGTCTTTGATTTTAGTGTGACCTGTATCTTGTAAAGTAGTTCAGGATTCTTTTTGTTTTATTCGAAATCCTCCTGACGGTCTGTCGTGACGGAATTCGAGTTTAGAATCCAGACGGGTTAGCAGTGAATATTTCGAAGACTGTAGGAAAGCGTCGTTCTGGTTAGCAGTGGATATTTCGGTAAAAAGTAGCAGAGCATAGTTCGTCCTTCTGGTTCTCTTCGCCTGACAAGCTGGACTGGACATTCGGTCAAAAGAGTGAACAAAATGGCCGCCTTTATTATACGACGGATTGAATGTTCTACGTCTTCTGATTGGTTAACCTTTATTGGTAGACTATAAAGGGAGTTAAGTCATTTTGACTGGCTCACTAGTTACACACATATACACAAAAATCTGTAACACTTTTGTGCACCCTCATATTTATATCGAAGGAGAACCCCTACATCCGTTATTTCTTGTCAAAATAGTTATCCTGAAGGAAGACTGCCCCACTGAACAAATAAATAGAAACAAACCAACAAATAAATCTATATTAATAAAGCACAGTGTACGTGTGTCTGTCTGTCCGGCAGTTTTTAGGTCTCATCGAATCACAAACAACCTGAAGTAACAGGAAGTAACTACTGTAGTTACACGTGATTTAAAATTAAATAAATAACTTTCTTAAATTTAAATTTAAATATTGAACAGAATGATGCATTTAAAAACATGTTTTTTTTATTAAAGGTTTAACTTTAATTTCGCTTTTCGTCGCAATTGCAATTGATATCGTCTAATTAAACCGTGACTACAACTTAAGCGGGACATGGTACGTCACTCATATGTTTTTTTTCTTTTTCTAGCACGCGTAATGTGTCGTATTCGAAATATTATAAGTTCAGTTTCCCTAATGTCTTTTAAGAATGACTTTATGTGAAGGGATCATAAAGAAAGGTGATTTAAAATGAAAATAAAAATTTCGGGCAAAATAAATGAAAATAAACCACGGTAATCGGTTGCGTATAGAAAGAAAGATTATGCCGAATTAAGGTGTCGAAAGAAGATGAAATAATTTTACTATTTCTAAATTCTTATGAATTTACGTACGTATGACGCTGAAAGTAAAAAACCGACGGTCCAAAAGCACCCCCGCAGGAGCTAACCTAAAGTCCGCCTGAAAAGGCGGATTCTAAGCTAGTAAATAAATAAAAAAATGGTTGTGTTTCATGTAAGATTTATGGGTAGAATTGTGTCTCGTATTTTCTGCGACGAACCTTTTTATGCCACTCCAATTCAGATAAGAAAATCGGTCTCTCTTATAATAAATAACAAGCATTTAGAAAAATAATCACAGAGGAAACGCACTGTAAAACGATAAAAGGTTAAGGCAATCTATTCACCATAAATCAAAAGAAATAAAACTACAACGACTGGAATGTTCGTCAATTTCTATAAAATAGCTTTCAAAAAGGACATATATATATATATATATATATATATATATATATATATATATATATATATATATATATATATATATTTGTGTATATATATATATATATATTTATATATATATATATATATTTGTGTATATATATATATTTTATATATATATATTTTTATATATATATATATATATATATATATATATATATATATATTTGTGCATTTAGGTAGCAATCTTTCTTTCATGCACATTTCATTGAATACGAGAGACAAAATACTTTTATTTAGTTTTTTATACAATTTCTCATGCGATTAATATTTTTTTTTTCTTTTCGGATGATAAATTATATAAAAACTGTCCGAATGTTCTTTTTATCCGAGCGCTTTCGGCTATACATTTAGCCATTTTCAAGGATTAAATATTTTAACTGTTAAATAAGAAATAGTTTGTTGTATGTATGTTTTATAAAATGTTTTTCATTTTTCAAAACACGGTCAAAATATTGTGTCCATGTTCAAAGTTAATATTATTAAGTGTTTTTTTTTTTCGTTTTTATTAATAAGGCTTCCATTATTTTTAGCCTGTTTTTGCATGTAGATGATGCTATTATATTAGTGTTGTCAACAAGTATGTTACAAATAGTGAACGGTAGGTCTCCATGAATATTTAATCAATCAAAATTCGTAAATAATTGTATAGGCCACTGACAATAGGTCAAATAGATCTCATTTATATATTCATGGAGACAGTTGTTATATAATTTATCATCCGAAAAGAAAAAAAAAATATTAGATCGCATGTGAAATTGTATAAAAAACTAAATAAAAGCACCTTGTCCGTCGTATTCAGATGAAATTTGCATATATATATATATATATATATATATATATATATATATATATATATATATATATATATACAGTGTAACCAGGATATAAGAGTCCCGGATATAATAGAAAGCCGGATATAAGAGAGATTTTCTCTGGTCCCAAATTAGAACCTGTGTTAATGTATATAAAATAGACCAAACCCGGATATAAGAGACTTCTTCTCCGGTCCTGACAACTCTCTTATATCCGGGTTACACTGTATATATATATATATATATATATATATATATATATATATATATAGAGAGAGAGAGAGAGAGAGAGAGAGAGGAGAGAGATATATATATATATATATATATAGGTGACATATATTTATTCAAGCATGTTTGGTTAAATAATTTAGACGTATCATGTTTATATATTATTAATTTTGATCCTCTCAAATTCACGGAACGAACAGGAGATGGTGGTAATTTATTACTTGAAATAATATAGATATTTAATGTAAATTAATACAATTATGGCACAAGGCCAAAAAGGGCGAAGGGTTTGAAGCTGATCTTCACAATCTATGTTATACCTAGCTAATCAGATTCACAACCCATTCACTCGTTACAATTTCCTCATAACCATAACAACTCATCAATCCTCCATACACCATAATACCACATCCCTTTCGGCGGGTGACTAAAAAAAAAATCCCAATGAGATGACAAATATTATTTGAAATATAAAGAAAAAAATATTTTAAAATTTAAAATTACCAGCGTCTCTCGTTCGTTTGTATCAACGAAAATACAGTTAGTCCGATGACGTTATGAATGAAGACAAATGTCGGACGCAAACTTTTTCCACTTTTTCATACAACTTTTCTATAGAATTGTTCTTGGTATAAAAGAATTTATATATATATATATATATATATATATATATATATATATATATATATATATGAAGAAAAATATACGGAAAAAACAAATCATATATTCAATTATGTTGTTTTTAATGTTAAAATGTCAACGTCGGACGTTTCGGTTTAATAAACCATCTACAGGACATATTCATAAATTATAACATTATCAATACAACATGACAAAGACGAATTAATAATGTTAATTATATTTTATGAATATGTCCTGAAGATGGTTTATTAGACCGAAACGTCTTGACATTGACATATAACATTAAAACAGCATAATTGTATATAAGGATTTTTGTTTGTTTTTTCCGTATATTTTTCTTCATACTGTCGGATCTATATCCATATATTTGCTTGTATATATATATATATATATATATCATGAATTGAATGTTACTATATCTAATTCAATAAATATTTACTAGTAGTAATACTACTGATTATGATATAATTTAACTTATGTAATTTTAGGTATATTAATTGCTAGCAATAATATTTGCTGTTTTTTATTATATAAATACATGTGTGTGTGTATATATGTGAGTGTTTATATATGTGTGTGATTGTGGGTGTGCGTGTATGTGTATATATGCTTCTTGTATGTGTTGATTTTGTGTGTGTATGCGTATATTTTATGATAAAAACGCTATTGTTTTAATCCATTCACCCCATGTAAGGCGATAATGCCCTTAAGACGCAAGAGTCTACTGGGTCTGGGGGAAAATTAGAATACTTTAGTTGGATGCCCAATCCTAAACAGGAATCAGGTGATAAACCCCTTCTCCTGTTCAAAAGACCAGGGAGGGGTATGAAACGGGTGATAGATTGCAAATATTAATTAATCAGCAAAATCTTCCTTGTTCATGCACTTCATTCAATAGGGCACATGGTTCGAATATTATAAAATGAAGATTTCAGAACATATCCAGTTAATGCCCTCATCTCAGGCTATGTTAACTTACTGATTCGATATTGCTTATAGATATTTCTGTGAAGAGAAAAAATGTAAAAAATAAAAACAAAAACACTGACGCGTGTCAAGTATGGAGGCCAACAAGTGTCATAAATACTGCGTTGGTTACAGCAATTCATGGAATGATGTCAGTTGTTCATCGCAAGGACTTCAGAAGTGTCTGTAAGGCCAGTTCACCCATACGCACACCCTCCCGTACTCACACGATATTGCCTTATTTGCTTCCACACCACCCTTACCAATCTGGTAACGGTGCCGCAGATTCACACGCATGTTATTCTTCAGGAGAGAGAGAGAGAGAAAGAGAGAGAGAGAGAGAAAGAGAGAGGAGAGAGAGAGAAAGAGAGAGAGAGGGGGGGAGAGTGTGAGAAAGAGAGGGGGCTAAAAAGAAAGGGAAACGGTGTGAATCTCTATCTGGAAGAATTTGATGTGCGAGGAGATAATGACACGACACACAGACAGACAGGCAGGCAGATCCGAAGACAATACACCCCCACCTCATCCCCTTCGTAGCTGTCCATTCCCAACCAACCCACGTTGATCTGACAGTCGGAGGAGCTATCTTTAAAGCAGGCTGAGAGTAGGCGTCTTCGCTGTCTAAAATAAATACCTTAACGGTGTTTGAGGGTGAGGCTCATTATTTTTGCAGTGACCCTATAAAAGATTCATTCAACACGAGAATTCCATGTTGCTTCAGTTAAAACTGGAGATAGAATTGTAGTGGGGGGGGTGGCTGGAGTGGGCGGAAGCTGGAGAGCTGCTTGAGGAGTGGAGAAATTGGAATGAAGAGCATGGAGTTCGCGGAGAGTCGTGTGATGGTTATGAACGAAGAGGAGGGCTTATAATAAAGAAAATTGGAAAATAAAAAACGATTGGGGGAAAGGGGGCTAACCACTAAATCCAATAAAAATCACTGTCAATTTCTTTATGTTTTTGATTGTTATTATTACTATTATTATTATTATTATTATTCCCCTCTGCCTTTTCCTCCTTCTTTATCCACATCATTTTCATTTTCTACTTTCTCCATCCTATTCACCATCATCTTCTTCTACCCATTATTATTATTATTATTATTATTATTATTATTATTATTATTATTATTATTCCCTCTGCCTTTTCCTTCTTCTTTATCCTCATCTTCTTCATTTTTTACTTTTCCATCCTATATAAACCATCATCTTCTTTTTCTTCTCATTATTATTATTATTATTATTATTATTATTATTATTATTTCCTTTGATTTCTGGTGTATATTCATTTTTTTCAGGGTCCCCACCAGAGACCTCCAAGTTCAGAAATGCCATCATGACATTTTCCAATGAGCAGTTTTGAAAAAAAATTATTATTATATTATTATTATTATTATTATTATTATTATTATTATTATTATTTTATTTCAAAATTTGATTTCTGTATAGGCCACTTTCAGGGTCCACACTCAGAGACCTAAGGTCAGAAATATCTTCATGACATTTTCCACTGAGCAGTTTTGAAAAAAATTATTATATTATTATTATTATTATTATTATTATTATTATTATTATTATTATTTCGGATTTGATTTCTGGTGTATATTTCTTTCTTTCAGGGTCCATAGAGACCTAAGGTCAGAAATATCTTCATGACATTTTCCACTGAGCAGTTTTGAAAAAATTATTATTATATTATTATTATTATTTTATTATTATTATTATTATTATTATTATTATTATTATTTCCTTTGATTTCTGGTGTATATTTTTTCTTTCAGGGTCCACACCAGAGACTAAAAAAAAAGGTCAGAAATTCTTCATGAATATTTTCCACTGAGCAGTTTTGAAAAAATTATTATTATATTATTATTATTATTATTATTATTATTTCCTTTGATTTCTGGTGTATATTTCTTTCTTTTCAGGGTCCCCACCAGAGACCTAAGGTCAGAAATGTCTTCAATGACATTTTCCACTGAGCAGTTTGACAAAAAAATTATTATTATATTTATTATTATTATTATTATTATTATTTCCATAATTTTTGATTTGTTGGTGTATATTTCTTTCTTTCAGGGTCCCCATATATAGAGATATAAGGTCAGAAATGTCTTCATGACATTTTCCACTGAGAAGTAATTTTTGAAAGAAATTATTATTTTTATTATTATTATTATTATTATTATTATTATTATTATTTCCTTTGATTTTTGGTGTATGCTCATTTCTTTTCAGGGTCCCACCAGAGACCTAAGGTCAGAAATGTCTTCATGACATTTTCTCACTGAGCAGTTTTGAAAGAAATTATTATTATTATTATTATTATTATTATTATTATTATTTCCTTTGATTTCTGGTGTATGCTCATTTCTTTCAGGGTCCCCATCCAGAGACCTAAGGTCAGAAATGTCTTGCTTATGACATTTTTGAGAAGTTTAAAAAAGAAATTATTATTATTATTATTATTATTATTATTATTATTATTTCCTTTGATTTCTGGTGTATGCTCATTTCTTTCAGGGTCCCCACCAGAGACCTAAGGTCAGAAATGTCTTCATGACATTTTCTACTGAGCAGTTTTGAAAGAAATTATTATTATTATTATTATTATTATTATTATTATTTCCTTTGATTTCTGGTGTATGCTCATTTCTTTCAGGGTCCCCACCAGAGACCTTTTAAGGTCAGAAATGTCTTCATGACATTTTCTACTGAGCAGTTTTGAAAGAAATTATTATTATTATTATTATTATTATTATTATTATTATTTCCTTTGATTTCTGGTGTATGCTCATTTCTTTCAGGGTGTGATGGTTACCAGAGACCTAAGGTCAGAAATGTCTAAAATGACATTTTCCACTGAGAAGTTTTGAAAGATATTATTATTATTATTATTATTATTTCCTTTGATTTCTGGTGTATATTCATTTCTTTCAGGGTCCCCACCAGAGACCTAAGGTCAGAAATGTCTTCATGACATTTTCCACTGAGCAGTTTTGAAACAAAATATTATTATTATTATTATTATTATTATTCTTTGATTTCTGGTATATTCATTATTTTTTTCCGGTACCCACCAGAGACCTCCTAAGGTCAGAAATGCCATCATGACATTTTCTGCCTTTTCCTTCTTCTTGAGCATCTTTCCATTTTTGAAAGAAATTATTATTATTATTATTATTATTATTATTATTATTATTATTTCCTTTGATTTCTTTGATGTATATTCTTTTTCTTTCAGGGTCCCCACCAGAGAGACCTAAGGTCAGAAATGTCTTCATGACATTTTCCACTGAGAAGTTTTGAAAAATTATTATTATTATTATTATTATTATTATTTCCTTTGATTTCTGGTGTATATTCATTTCTTTCAGGGTCCTCACCAGAGACCTAAGGTCAGAAATGTCTTCATGACATTTTCCACTGAGCAGTTTTGAAACAAAATATTATTATTATTATTATTATTATTTCCTTTGATTTCTGGTGTATATTCATTTCTTTCAGGGTCCCCACCAGAGACCTAAGGTCAGAAATGCCATCATGACATTTTCCACTGAGAAGTTTTGAAAGAAATTATTATTATTATTATTATTATTATTTCCTTTGATTTCTGGTGTATATTTCTTTCTTTCAGGGTCCACACCAGAGACCTAAGGTCAGAAATGTCTTCATGACATTTTCCACTGAGAAGTTTTGAAAGAAATTATTATTATTATTATTATTATTATTATTATTATTATTATTATTATTTCCTTTGATTTCTGGTGTATATTTATTTCTTTCAGGGTCCCCACCAGAGACCTAAGGTCAGAAATGTCTTCATGACATTTTCCACTGAGAAGTTTTGAAAGAAATTATTATTATTATTATTATTATTATTATTTCCTTTGATTTCTGGTGTATACTCATTTCTTTCAGGGTCCCCACCAGAGACCTAAGGTCAGAAATGTCTTCATGACATTTTCCACTGAGCAGTTTTGAAAAAAAATATTATTATTATTATTATTATTATTTCTTTTCATTTCCTTCCGGATCCCAACCAGAGACCTAAGGTCAGAAATAGCTTCACGATTTTTTCCACTGATCAAAAAAAAAACAAAAAAAAAAAAAACAAACCCTAAGCTCTTCATAATATTTTTTTTTTTTTTTTGGTATTTCTTTAAGTTTTGGGATACCAGGAATTCCTTCCATGAGTCTATCGGAATCTACTACAAGTGAAATTATTGATATATTCATGGGCTACATTTTTTTTAGATTTCCACTTCAAGATCCTTGTATTTTAACAGTTTTTTTCTTTTTAAGATCTTCAAAGATACATCACAATCTGCAGGGACTGCCATGTCAAAAAAAAAAAAAAAAAAAAAAAAAAAAAAAGACACATTCTCTTTTGTGGGTTTTGTTCACGGTGTCTGGGTGATAAGCTTTGATTTTTATGTCCGTGTGTATTGGAAAGACCCATAAAATTATTACAGGTCCTATCTATTCAACTAGTTGTTCAGACCAGTTTCTCGCAGTTTCCGTCCCGTAAATGTTGCATATTTTCCAGTGCAGATATTGGCTCACTCTATCGTGAAGAGTTTTCTATTCACTGGGTGCTAACGCTGTGCAATCTGATACAAGATTTCTGGATATTTATTACAGAATCTTCATTTCGGGTAAACACAATTTTTCATGATGTATTTTTGGTAATTTCTAGTTAGCAAGCATTGGTCCTATGCAGCAAAGTTAAAACCTTCGGTTTAAGCTTTTAACCTTGCACTATGTAACCACTGATAGGTACTGGATTTATCTACATCAACTTGTTTCGTACGGGCAGATGTCGGCAAACATTGTTATTATTATTATCATTATTGTTATGGTCCGGTTCCTTGTACCACAGTGATAGTCCAAAGTAGAACCAATAAAGAAGAACTCGAACACGGATATGGAATAACACAGATATATTACAAACAGGAATATATACAGAGAAGGTAGAAAGTGTTAGTACGAACAATCAGGTTTAGTAGAGAGAACAATGCAATCTCGACCAGTATCCCTATTCCAATGTCTTGCAGTAATTGTCTGACCACGACTCTGTTTCGGACTGCCTCTGACTCCTCTCTTGATTCGACTTGAACTACCGACTCCGCTTGAACTACTGACTCAACTTGAACTACTGACGATATTCAGTCACCGCCCCCACGAGGGCGTCATGTGGCACAAGGCTGGTTTAACGTGGGATCTCCGAGCCCGTGGGCTCGGCCAAAAATATGCCCATTGAACCCGTATAAACGGGTTCAGGGTCGGTTTAACTCCCCGAAAGAGAATCCGCCCTTCGGCGTAGCCTCGTTCGGGTTCCTCCCCACCCGAAGGCAGAGAGTTCAACCGATCAGCCGGTCAAGACTTGAACTCCCGATATTGAGTCCCCCCCCCCACACTGGGGCAACATGTGACACAAGGTTGGTTGTTTATTGTGGGATTCCCGTGCCCGTGGGCTCGGCCCAAAAATATGCCCGTTTGAACCCGTATAAACGGGTTCAGGGCCGGTTTTACCTGGGACTCTGTTAGTAAAATTGACCATTCATTTTCTCACAAGGCCCAGTGCTCCAATTACTATTGGTACAATCTCAGTCTTCATTCCCCGCATCCTATAAATTTCGATCTCTAGGTCTTTGTATTTGGACAATTCCTCGATCATTTTCATAGAGATGTTTTTTTCTTAGATGGCACTGATGTATTAATAAGCATACACTTATTTACATTATTCGGATTATTGTCCTCATCTTTGTCGCCATATTTACCACAACGTTTCGGCCGTTGTACGCCCCGGCCTTCTTCAGGTGGTTGGAATTTCGAACTGAACCCTTCACTGAATTTTATCCCCTGACATCAATTAAAAACACGGCACGTGGAACTAGAACAGTTTACCACAGTGAGCGAAATAAAGGGTTCAGTTCGAAATTCTAACCATCTGAAGAAGGTCGGAACGTATACCAGCCGAAACGTTGTGATAAATATGGTGACAAAATGAGGACAATAGTCCGAATAATGTAAATAGTGCACATAGTACCTCATCTCAGAAATATAGAGAGATACTGAAAGGCCGAAACGTTGTAATAAATATGGCGACAAAATGAGGACAATAGTCCGAATAATGTAAATAATGTACATAATATCTCATCTCAGAAATATAGACAGATACTGAAAGGCCGAAACGTTGTAATAAATATGGCGACAAAGATGAGGACAATAGTCCGAATAATGTAAATAGTGTACATAATACCTCATCTCAGAAATATAGACAGATACTGAAAGGCGAAAACGTTGTAATAAATATGGCGACAAATAAGAGGACAATAGTCCGAATAATATAAATAGGGTACATAATACCTCATCTCAGAAATATTGACAGATACTGAAAGGCCGAAACGTTGTAATAAATATGGCGACAAAATGAGGACAATAGTCCGAATAATGTAAATAATGTACATAATATCATATCTCAGAAATATAGACAGATACTGAAAGGCCGAAACGTTGTAATAAATATGGCGACAAAGATGAGGACAATAGTCCGAATAATGTAAATAGTGTACATAATACCTCATCTCAGAAATATAGACAGATACTGAAAGGCCGAAACGTTGTAATAAATATGGCGACAAAGATGAGGACAATAGTCCGAATAATGTAAATAGTGTACATAATACCTCATCTCAGAAATATAGACAGATACTGAAAGGCTGAAACGTTGTAATAAATATGGCGACAAAGATGAGGATAATAGTCCGAATAATGTAAATAGTGTACTTAATACCTCATCTCAGAAATATAGACAGATACTGAAGCATACACTACATGAAGTTCTTGTCTTTTATGATAATATCATGTCTGTTTGCTTTTATTTCCCTGTCAGTTTTAATTGGCATGTCCCAGAGGATAGTTACATCGTTATTTTGCATATCTTCCAGTGTTGTTGTTGCTGTTATTATTATTATAATTATTATTTCTTATTCTTCCTTTTTCTTAATTTTTTTAATTCTATTTTTATGATTTTTTTATCAGTTCGATTTATTTTCTTCTGCATTTTTTGTTCTAGTTCCATGTGCTATGTCTAATGGATATCAGTTATCAGTTATCTCCTGTTAATTCACCACTCCAAGTTCTCCACTACCTTAATGTTATGGTCCGGTTCCTTGTACCACGGTGATAGTTCAAGGTAGAACCAATAAAGAACTCGAATACGGATATGGAATAACACAGATATAATACAAACAGGAATATATAGAGAGAGGTAGAAAAGTGTTAGTACGAACAATTAGGTTTAGTAGTAATTGTCTGAATACGACTCTGTTTCGGACTGCCTCTGACTCGACTGACTGACTTGCTCACTCTGACTGACTGACAGACTCCTGACAGACTTCCCTCCAGACTTCAGACTGAACTCTAGACTTCAGACAGAACAATATTCAGTCACCCTCCCACGAGGGTGTCATGTGGCACAAGGCCTTTTTAACGTGGGATTTCTGAGCCCGTGGGCTCGGCCAAAAATATGCCCATTGAACTCGTATAAACAGGTTCAGGGTCGGTTTACCTCCCCGAAAGAGAATCCGCCCTTCGGCGTAGCCTCGTTCGGGTTCCTCCCCGCCCGAAGGCAGAGAGTTCAACCGGTCAGCCGGTCTTCCGACTTCAGACTGAACTCTCTGCTTCCCCTTGAGGCGCAGTATTTATCACAACTCTTTGTGTCCTGTCACTGGATCTAACCAACGTCTTTATCCACTGTGCCTTGTGTCCTTGAGGACATGAATTTCTGAGACTTATAAATTTAATGTCTTCAGTACTCATTTTTTTACGAGTACACGTACTGCACTGCAATCTTTGCTGTTATCCTTGCATTTTTTTTTTTACCGGAGATCATATTGCTTATCATTGCTTTTCTCTGGCATTCCTTATTATTGGTTCCCCTAGAAAAGTCTACCCCAGTGAGCGAAATAAAGGGTTCAGTTCGACATTCTAACCACCTGAAGAAGGCCGGAGCGTACATCGGCCGAAACGTTGTGATAAATATGGCAATAAAGATGAGGACATAGTCCGAATAATGCAAATAGTGTAGATAATACCTCATCTCAGAAATATAGACAGATAATGAAGGAACTGTACTAAATAAAAGCAAACCACATCACTTCAAGACTACCAACAGCAGCAACAACTAAAATAGATAGCACATGTAACTCGAAGAGAAAATAATGACATAATCAAGATGTTGACATTCCACACTAATTCAAATAAAAGGTTAGGAAGGAAACCCCCATCAATACTGGAAATAACTGATATGTCCCAGAAAGGGATATATTTGTTCGAAGTAGCAAAGTGGTTGTTGACTACTCTAACCGGGTAGAACAATCTAGCAGGTAACCGTAATGGACTGGTCCTCGTCGTAGTGGTAGACAATAGGCGTACACAATAGGTGTAGTTCATGTACCTCCACATCAGTCTGTATTTATGGCTGACACCAGTCAATCATATTACTGTGACGGGTAACCCAGTTGTATGCATATTCATTACATCAGCCATGATCGCCAACATCCAGAAGGGACACAACACAGAAGAAAAACAAGTTTGTGTAAATGGATATCAGAGCAAGGTTTGGCAGAGATAACAAAAAGATAAAAATTATTAAGAAATACAAAAGACAGGAAATTGGGGAGAGTCTCGATCACCAACGCTCTGAATGGACACAGCACATAGAAGAAAAATTATATTTATTAAAAACTACAAAACTGGGAAATTGTGGAGAGCCATGATCGCCAACGTCTTGAATGGATACAGCATATAGAAGATTTATATTTATTAAGAGCTACAAAGGACAGGAAATTGTGGAGAGCCATTGATATGTCCCTGAAAGGGATATATTTGTTCGAAGTAGCAAAGTGGTTTTGGACTATTGTAACTGAGTAGAACAATCTAGCAGGTAACCATAATGGCTGGTCCTCGTCGTAGTGATAGGCAATAGGCGTAGGCAATAGGCGTAGTCCATGTACCTCCACATCAGTCTGTATTTATGGCTGACACCAGCCAATGATATTACTGTGAGGGGGAACCCAGGTGTGTGCATATTAATTACATCAATAACTATAAAAGTTACTAAACTTGAGAAAGCTCACTTCTTAAAAAATGTGTTTTAAGAGAAAAAAAAAATTTCAACAGAAATCAGTACTAGCTGCACGTCCAATGAATGCGAAATATTTCCTTATTGGGAAACGGCTAATATTCCCCTTACCATTACCCTACGACCCGAAAGGGTTCATTGTGATCGTAATATCAGTTGCCTAGTCATAGGGTAATTATTAACGAGGCGATTGCGGTTAACTATTAAAACTGATTAGTGAGTTAGATCCCCACTGTGGGATCAATAAAAAATAATTCAATATTGAATAACACATTGAATGTTGGCATGTCGTAAAATGACCCAAGTTAACAGACAGAGCCAAAGTAAAAGCGATGAGTTGCGTATGAAACAACAGCAGCAGCAGTAGACGTAGTGAGGTTGCTAGCGGCAGACGCGGACACGCAAACACAGAACTTTGCTTGAACCACTACCGATCTTTGCGTCCATTATCGTGGCAAAAACCGACTAGCCCGCAGCTAAAAAAAAAAGTGCCTTGTGATTTTGTTATAAGATCATAATAGATTTTCTCTTTCTTACTTTTCTTCTTCCATTTCATTTTATTTTTATTCTTTCGTTATTTCCTTCTTTTCCTCTTTTCTCTTTTATTGTTTTTCCTTCGACTTTTTTTCTCTTCTTGTTATTTCTTTTCCCTCTACATTTTCTTTCCTTCTTTATTTCTTCTTTATTCCAATCTTTTAATTTTTCGTTTTTCTCAACAATATTGTTTAAAATTATTATTATTATTATTATTATTATTATTATTATTATTATTCTAAAACAACTCTTTTTGATTTTTATTGTTTTTCTTCTTTTTCATCTCTTTTTTCTAAAATACTCTCTACTGTTTTTCTTCTACTACTTCTTCGTCGTCGTCGTTGTCGTCTTTGTATTCTTCTTCTAAAACAGCTCCCTCTGATATTTACTCTTCTTTTTCTTCTTCTCCTCCTAAAACAACTCCCTTTGCTTTTTACTATACTACTTCTTCTTCTTCTTCCAAAACAAATACCTTTGATTTTTACTATTTCTTCTTCTTTTTCTTCTTTTCTTCATCATCATCATCATCATCATCTTCTTCTTCTTCTTCTAAAACAACTCCCTTTGCTTTTTACTGTTTCTTCTTCTTCTAAAACAATTCCCTTTGCTTTTTACTGTTTCTTCTTCTTCTTCTTCTTCTTCTTCTTCTTCTCAAAGAAGTTCCTTTGCTTTTTACTATTTCTTCTTCTTCTTTCTTCTTCTTCTTCTTCTTCTTCATCATCATCTTGTTCTTCTTCTTCTAAAACAACTTCCTTTTCTTTTTACTGTTTCTTCTTCTTCTAAAACAAGTCCCTTTGCTTTTTACTATTTTTTTCTTCCTTTTCTTCTTCTTCTTCATCATCATCGTCTTCTTGTTCTTGTAAGACAACTCCCTTTGCTTTTTACGGTTTCTTCGTATTCTTCTTCTTCTAAAACAACTGCCTTTGCTTTTTACTATTTTTTCTTCTTCTTCTTCTTCTGTTGTTTCTTCACATATTTGCTCCTTCTTTTTTAAATTTTGATATATCTTTTTATGTATAATATCATTTGTTATTGCAATAAATATGTTCATAAACCAAAAATTTGGCCGACTCACACCAACACATACACACGCACTCAAACGTGCGCGCGCGCACACACACACACACACACACACACATACTCTCTCTCTCCCAGTCATCATCGTGCAAACACACACAATGTCTAGTGGGAATCTTAGTCATCCGTGGCTGGGGTAAAAAGAAGTGTACTACCTCGGTTTAACACAGCCCCTCTCCATTCTCTTCAGGCAGAACCTCTCTTATTTGCCCAAAAGGAAGAGAATTAGAATCAATCCTTATGTCTGGGGCATTTTAAAAGTGAATGGCCAACTGAACTTGAATAGTTTTTGTCACTAATCCCATGAATGCGTTGGAAACATACTTTTAAATGACCTTATGCCATATTCTTTCACGTGAAAAGATAGATAACTTGTTACATTATTATGTCAACAAGAACATGTTAATAACATCTAAAATAACAAGATTGAAAAAATCCTATGTGACACCTTTCAACCATCGAATGGACTTCTTCAGGTTAAATAAGATTTTGGCAAAGTTTAACAAACGTACACACATAAAAACGAACGGTAATTTTTTTTATTATTTTAAGAAAGTATTTTTAGAATTAAAAATCAAACGAATTTATACATTTTATGTTAAGACTTATACATTTATTTATACTATTTATATTATTTGGACTGTTGTCCTCATCTTTATTTTTCATATTCACGACCTTTCGGCTGTCGTACAATAAGGCCTTATTTAGGATCTGTCTATCTTTCTGAGATGAGGTATTGTAACTATTCCCACTACTTACATTGTTCGGGCTTTTGTCCTCATCTTTATAGCCATATTCACGACGTTTCGGTCGTTGTACGCTCCGACCTTATTCGGGATCTGTCTCTGTTTCTGCGATGTAGCATTGTAACTATTTACACTACTTCACATTGTTGGGACTGTTGTTCTCATCTTTATAGCCTCATTCCTGAACTTTCGGCCGTTGTACGAACCAGATGATGCCATTTCTTCACATGTTCAAACCCGATGCAGCAACCCAGATTATATGCCTCCCCGAAAATATTCGGCAAAGTTTACCCACAAGAAAACGGTGTGGCAAAAGAACGGTTTCCTGTTTTGTTTTTGTATAATTTTGCTAAATTTTCTAATAATTGATTAAATAGGGTTTAACATTTTTGTTGTCAGTTCTCGTGAAAAAAAAATTCAGATGCTCTCAGTCTATTTTAATGAATCTCTGTGACGAGAAGATCTTGCTTCTTTAACGTCTGAGAAGAGGAACGGAATAACCTCAACATCCCGGTGCAAAAACGAACCGGCAAATGTCACCATGAAACGCAATTGTGAGATGGAGGGGAGTGATAACCATAGCAACGCAAAAGGTGCTAACTGAATTTAAATGAATGATGTGACAAGAGAAAAATGAAAGAATTTTCTAGAAAATGTATTTTTTGCAAAATTTATAATTACACTTACTCACAATTATGTGCTTTTTTAAATTTTCTTGTTCACAGATATACATCTATAAATAAGATTTTTCATAGTTTTTTCTTTATAATATGATATTAAATATTGCGTTTTAGTTGTTTCATATATTTTTATAATGTTATAAATATAAAATTCTTTCTATAAATAAACAATAAATAATGCCAGTCTATATTTCTGAAATGCGGTATTGTAACTATTTACACTATTTCAGTGTTCAAACTGTTGTCCTCATCTTTATAGCCATATTCACTATGTTTCGGCCTTTGTACGTCCGGGCCTTCTTCAGGATCTATCTATATTTCTGAAATCAGGTATGTATAAATTTTTTCTTATAAATAAACTATAAATAAATAATATCTGTCTATATTTCTGAAATGTGATATTGTAATTATTTACACTACTTACATTGTTCGGACTCTTGTCCACATCTTTATAGCCATATTCGCTATGTTTCGGCCTTTGTACGTTCCAGCCTTCTTCAGGATCTATCTATATTTCTGAAATAAAGTATTGTAATTATTTACACTACTTACATTGTTCGGACTGTTGTCCTCAGTTTTATAGCCATATTCACGATGTTTCGGCCTTTGTACCACCGGCCTTCTTCAAGTGAGAGTAGTTGGAATTTCGATTCGAAACCCTTTATTTGGTCCAAAGATGAAGACTGTTCTAATGCCACGTGCCATGCCTTTCTTGGATATCTCGGTTTCAGTTAATTCCTAGCCTTTGTTTCCACTACCAGGGATTGAACTTACAACTTTTTGGATCAAATTTCTTTTGGATCACTTGACAAATACTTTTATGCATTGGTTAAGAGTTTTGAGTTCAATACCTGGCCACAGTAAAGGGGAATAAAATGTTGGAGAGTTAAGTTACCAAAGGGAATTAACTAGAACTGAGATACGCAAAAAAAGGTATGGCACCAAGAATTAGAAGAATCTATTACCGTGGACTAAATAAATAGTTTGGTTCAAAATTCCAAATGATATTACTGGTTCGTACAACGTGTCTATAAAGAAGAGGACAACAGTCCAAACAATATAAGTAGTGTAAATAGTTCCAAGACCTCATCTGAGAAAGATAGACATTTGCCATATAACAAGAAAATGTTAATAACATGTAAAATAACAAGATTGAAAAAATTCTATGTGACACCTTTCAGGCATCGAATGGACTTCTTCAGGTTAAATAATTTGGCAAAGTTTAACAAACGTACACACAAAAAAGAACGTTAATTTTTTTTATTATTTTAAGAAAGTATTTTTACAATTAAAAAGCAAACGAATTTATACATTTTATGTTAAGCATTATACATTTATTTATACTACTTATATTGTTTGGACTGTTGTTCTCATCTTTATTTTTCATATTCACGAACTTTCGGCTGTCGTACACTCCGGCCTTCTTCCGGATCTGTCTATCTTTCTGAGATAAGGCATTGTAACTATTCACACAACTTACATTATATTGTAACTATTCACACAACTTACATTATTATAGCCATATTCACGACGTTTCGGTCGTTGAGATGAGGGCGGTCATCTCTTTTGGATAGAAATCATCAACTCTTCTATCCAAAAGAGATGACCGTATGTGAAAAGAACGCGTTAGGCAAAAGACAATTGCCAGAGCGTAGATGGGTTGGTACCAACAGATCGCAAAGCGAAGACGAACGAATGTGATCATTTGCAAAGACATTATGATGTCGATAGGGAAATAGCAATGAAAGTGACGGTCGTGCCATTATTAGTTGGAATATTTGGATCTGTGTAAAATAGATATTAAAAAACGATGAAAAATGTTATACTCAAGATTAGGTGAATTAATATTCACTAGCTTCCTTTTTTGCTTGCTTTCGTCCTTCTTTCGGCCTCCCCCATTTTTTCTTTCCCGTCTGACTTATATCTTCTCTTCCCGCCCTCGTCTCCTACACTTAATCTTTTCTATCTTTCTTTATTTTCCATTTTCCGCTGTTTTCTCTTCATTATTTTTGTCTTTCGCGACTTCCTGTTCTTTAAAAAAAACGAAAAAACAACCTCCTCCCGTTTATTCAATTCCTCATATGCTCTTTACCTGACTTCCTTTCTAAATCAATCCCATCCTTCCTTTCTTCCTGTTCCGTTATGCATCGCTTCCGGTTTTTTCTTAAAGTTCTCTTATTTTCCCTTTTATTTTTCAATTTTCTCCTCCTTTATTCTTCACTTAAATTTTTCTTATTTTTCTCTTTAAACCATTTAAGTTTTTTTTTCTTTAACATCTTTCGTTTTGTTTTTCTCATTTTCCTTCTTTCAAGTCTTGTTGAATTCAAGATGGCATTTAACTGTCAGGTTCTAATCTCTCCCAGCATGTCTAACTTCCTTTCCTCTATTTTCTGTACCTTCAATGTCTTTGACGCACGCAGGTAGTTCAGGCTGGAAAAAAATACTTAAAACCTAAACAAAAAACCTTTCCTTGCAGATGCTGATAGAGACATCATTTTAAAAAATTGTTTGCTATTTTCTGAACTGCACTAAATATAACAAAACGGGAAAGAAACTCCCTCTTCCGTCCGCCATCTTTCCGTTGACTTTTACCTTTTTTCTTTCTCTTTCTTTGCTGGAGATGTCGTCTGCTTAAATCCATTTTAATTCTCATTACAAACACTTTTTATTACGTGGATTTCATCGCGATAAAATCCCAAACTATAGAACATGCAAGTAAGCACCTTAGATAAATAGAAAGCTTATGGGGGTGAAGAACATTTTTATGTTCAGTCTTTCTTTCTATTTTTTCTAATCAAATTCCTGGGAATTGAAGGCAAGAAATACGATTTTACTCCATTTTTTTTATTAATCTTATTAAATCTGCAATTGGTTTTAAAACTAACGGACCCCATAGTATATAGCAATGCATCAAGCAGATGGTTTGTCGTCTGTATTTTACGTACACATCGTGTTTACGGCAAATTCGTTTTCTCACTGGGAATATTTGATACAACATGGAAATGGACGGATAACTGGAATGTTTCAGTGTCATTTCCATTATCAAACAAGAAAAGGCAATAAGTTTTTCTAACAAAGAGGAATGAAAGAAGGTTAGGAAAAAAAAGCAACCAAACCAAGCAAAAACAAAGATAAAGCAAAAGAAAATTTATCTGATTTATTTTTTCAGCTTATTTTTAATCTTAAATTATTTTTACTCTATTTTCAAATGTTCAGAACATTTCAATACGTAGCAGACGTAATTTTAATAGTGGAATTGACCGTTTCCATACAGAAAACTTTCGACAGTCATTGACCAAACTGTTAGTGTTACTGTCAATTGAAATATATAAAGCCATTTACTTGTTTTAAGGAAAAATTTAACTTCTTTCTTCCACTAACTGTTATCGCTCTTTCTTGTAGTGATGGGAGTTACCTTCAAAACGTTCTATTTTTGGTCGCGTGGAAAATTAACAATTTCTTTTTGTCTGTCTTTCTTGGATGTCAGTTGTTATTAAACGCCATTGTCATCGTCTTTGTTGTTGCTATCACAACATTTCGACTGTTTTGGTCTCCGGTCTTGATCAAGGTAACGTTAAGGGACCTTCGACCTTAAAACTTTATTTAATCTACGGCTGTAAATTGCTAATAAAGAGAGAAAGATGAGTTATCATATGTTTTTATTTATATTAGCTTTAAAACTGTTTTGATATATAAAAAATCATATATCATAAGTGTTGAAACAAAATGGCTATTTTTGTAGTTATTTTTTTATAACATATTTATGTTATCATTTTCGAATAAATTACGCACACACACACACACACACACACACACACACACACACATATATATATATATATATATATATATATATATAAAAGTGTACATTGAGTCAGCACCAACCGGTAACAGTCTGTTTCATGCTTAAACATGAAATTTAGAGGAATCTAAATGAAATAATAATAAAAATGAAAGAATATTAATATACAACCCAATCTTCCGGCCATAAGATTACATCAAGGATGTTGAGTCCAATGTCCACTTTTATATTTTCATACGCTGTATCCCTGATATTTAGCAATAAATATAGCATAAATTCAAACCATATTTTTTTATTCATATATATATATATATATATATATATATATATATATATATATATTTCGATTAAGGTGCAGTTCAATTTATGATTACAGGAATCATTCATACAAAAAACAAATATAGAGGTTAATGATTTAAATACATATACAGGTTCGGGGTTAGTGTACCTTATTGAAATTGTTTGCGAAGATGTATTCTCGCCATTTAAATCATAAACCTCTATATTTGTTTTTTGTATGAATGATTCATGTAATTATATATATATATATATATATATATATATATATGATGGACTCTCACATCGAGTTCGATGTATGAGATTCCGATGATCACGATATAATTATATGCATGCCTATGACGAGTCTGACTTTTGAGACCGCTTCAAGAATTGCACAAATGACCACAAACATTACAGGAGAATATATTGTATCCAAGTGCAGCAGGAACACAGATAGCTGTTTTATTTTGCTTTCGTGTTTCACGCAGTCGAATAATGCTTACTCCTTGATGGTGCATTATTCTTTAATGGCAGCTAGAACGATACTCTGATTTCTTCATAGCTACCTCTTCAAAGTTCTTAAATGGAATGTTTAGGCAAGAACGTTTGCTCGTCAGTTTATCTTTATACCTGGGTCAAGTTCTACCAACATTTCTATGGAGTTCACTGTAGAAAAGAACTTTTGGTATGCGATCATCACTCATCCTTGCCACATGTCCAGCCCAACGTAGTTGGGATTGCATTATGAAGGTGTTATGGGATCTTACCCATAATAATAATAATGGACTATTCCATACTTAATAAATACTGCGCCTCAGGAGTAGGCAAGGAGTCTGTCAGTAGTTCAAGTCGAGTCAAGAGTCGAGTCAGAGGCAGTCCGAAACAGAGTCGCGTTCAGACAATTACTGCAAGATATTGGAATAGTGATACTGGTCGAGACTACATTGTTCTCTCTATTGAACCTGATTGTTCATACTAACACTTCTACTTCTCTGTATATATTCCTGTTTGTAATATATTTGTGTTATTCCATACCTGTGTTCGAGTTCTTCTTTATTGGTTCCACCTTGGACTATCACTGTGGTACAAGGAATCCGGACCATAACAGAAGGTCTCCATGGTACCAATCTTGCATTTCTCAAAAAGCTCGACATTTGACACTCGATCATCAAACGTCAGGCCACAGATTGTACGAAGACGGCCTTTATGGAAGACATCTAATCGATTAGTGTGCCATCTATATGATAGACCAAGTTTCAGAGCCATACAAAAGACTTGAAAAAACGACAACTTTGTACTCTTGGATTTTAGTGCAAAAATTCATTGCCCTTTCGTCCCACAACCTAGGGAAGTGCTGGCTTTTGCAATGCGATTAACAATCTCATCATCAAGTGATGCGCTTGAATTTACCATGCTTCTGAGGTATTTGAAAGATTCCACATACCTGAGATTCTCGCCATCAACTTGAGACCTCAGGAAACTTACGAACAAGGGGTCTCTGTTTTTACACCTTTAATTTGCTTCGGCGTCGGGCAAAGGTTGATGAATAACTTCAGTTTTCTCGACGCTGAATTCCGAATGCCTTCGGACTGGGCTGTGTTGATGTTGCCAGATTTAACATGGGCACGAAACGAGAGACGCTGGTAGTTTCAAAATTTTTGAAAATAATTTTGAAAGACCATCTTTGAAAGAATATTATTTTGAATCTATCCAAAATTCTTCTGTATTCCTTTTCCTTTCTTTTTCTCTCTATTACCTTTGTCTCTGACTAGTGACGATTCCACGTTGTGACAACAGAAAATCTACCAAGAATGGCGATGTATTGCAAAAACCTGGACGCAAATTTACCTTGGCTGAACGAGCGATCAAGGCATTTTCCAGACATTTTAGTCTCAATGGATTATTTTCTCTTTTAATTAAAGTAGCATTACCTATTGTGGTCAGTTTCGTTACGTTGAACAAACCATTGCGTTTTATGTGTTGTTTTTTAGAATGTCCCTTTTATGTTCATATCTTTTGTTTAATCTTCTTGAAGTTTTTCTTGCACGTCATAGAGTAAATTCCTACTTCAAGTTTTGGCTTGATTTTTCGTTTATTATTAAGTATTTAATTCTTTTAGATGTAGTTGCGACAAATTTCATGTTGAGTTTTATACATATATGAAAACGAGACATCATACGTTTTTATATATCAATAAAATTTTAGGCAAATCTAACAAAGCGGTCAAAAGTGATCATCAGACAAAAATGATCTTTACGTTGATCCGATTCCAATAAACCATGAAGGAGAAAGACTTTAAAATTTATAATTTAAATTTAAATTTTTTTCAGGGGCTCCTCTCGTTCATGCGCTTGTGTAATCAGACCAATGCAGATATTTCTTTAGTCTGATGAAGTCCTAAATGTCAAAACGCGAAAACTCTCTTCTTGTACAATCATAAATTTTCCTAATGCATATATATATATATATATATATATATATATATATATATATATATATATGTTCATCTCACAGCGCCAGTTCTGTTTACCAAAAGTGGTCCACTTAGCACTCGCATTCGTTTATGCTGCCGCCGCAGGAGGAGGCGGCAGAGGCGTGGGACAGCTCCGTATTCAGGACAGTCGCCCCTTTTCAACCCTTCCGAGTTCGAGAGTAGTATATGTATTCAGTTGTATGGATATGAGTTTGTGACCCTGGGTTTCCCGATTTTGCGTCACAAACTGCTATCCATAAAACTTTTAGGCCACAAAACCCTATCCATACAACTTTTTTACAAGTTTTCGGCTCTTGTTTTGAAACATGAGAACTCTGTAGCGATGGAATCATATTTTTAAATAATTATTAGTGGTAAATATACACATGCATATGCAAAATATATAAATATATATACATAGGTGCATACACATACATGTATATTTTTTAAATAAAAAATTCCAAGAGGATAGAATCCAATGGAATAAATTATGACCATGGAATATTAGTGTTTAAGCCTTTATATATATATATATATATATATATATATATATATATATATATAATTATTTATTTAAAAATATGATTCCAACACGCTACATAAGAGTTCTCAAAACAAAAATACTAAAACTTTGGATTATTTACCTAACGAGTTCTTTCGTCTTTTCTATATATTTTTCACACACACACACACA